CCCCCCCCCCCCCACTGTAGAGCCTGATCCCAGGCTAGTGGCTTCACTAAATTAGCAGGGTGTCAATTAACAAGGAACCTTAAGAGGTGAGCATTGAAAATGAGAAAAAGAGGTATGAAAGCGACGACATGCATTCTCGTTTCCAGGGTCTTTGCATGAATGGATAAAACCACTGAACGCACTGAACGCACGGAGAGAATTTTCAGCAGGTCGAAAATTCGTCCCGTGTGGTGTGAACGTAGCCTAAAATTAAACAAACAAATCAAACAACAACAACAACAACAAGAAAAAAAAATCAGCAAGTTGTCTACGATGGTCAAAGTATTAGCAGAAAAAGGACATGGTAAAAGCTAGCTTAAACAATGTAGGACTAGTAATGCCATTGAATCTTATAACTGTCTTTATTTTCAGACTGAAGAGCTTGAGTTGATACTGAGAAGTCTGGAAGGGATTGAAGGAAAGCTTATTTCACCCTGTTGCGAAATAAATTCTACTATTCGCGGTGTAGAGGAAGAGATCGACAAGGCCCATGATAGATTCTTTCGATTTGCTGAAGAGATATGCATCAACTTCAGTAACCTTGAGGAAAGCTGTATCGATGAAATTGAAAAGCGCAAGGGATCATTCGCAGCAGAAGAACTTAAACAACTTTGTGAAGTTTATTTTGAACAGATACAACCACCAGCCCTTCATGCTTTGTTGGAGACCTTGCCAGAATCACACAAACATGTAAGAGGAGCAGAAGGTTTAGCAATCGTTAAAATTCGGGCAAAAATAAAGGAGAAAATAGGCCAGATAGAAAAAATGATTGATGAAAAGTTCAATGAAGTAGCTAAGGCAATTCAGGAGACGGGAAAAAAGTCCCAGAAACACGGCGACGAAGAGGATGAGCAAAGGAAAAATGTTCAGAAAAGATTCCATGAGCACGAAGACTTCGTTCGAACAAAGTTACTTAAGTTATAAATTTAACCCCCTGACGGTTGCCAAGTAACGAAAAAAACGCATTTTTCAGCAATTCCTCTTCTTTGGATTGGTTGTCAGCTAATTAGCATAAGAATGGCTAAAAATTAGTTTTGCAACGAAAAAGGTATATTTTCCGACTAATAGGACGTAATTTAATAGCTTTTTTTTTGTTTCTCGCGCATGCGCACAAATTGCGAAAAGTAACCTTGAGGAAAGCTAAGAATGATAGACGAAATTGAAAAGCGTAAGGGATCATTTGCAGAAGAACATTGTGCAGGAAATTTTGACCAGAAGAGGATACTACCAGCCCTCGCTTTGTGGGAAAGATTGTCAGAATCACATATACTTGTAGGAGGGGCAGGAGATTTAGCAATCGTTAAAATTCGGGCAAAAATAAAGGGGAAAATAGACCAGATAGAAAAAATGTTAGATGATGTTTCAGTAAAGTAGCTAAGGCAATTCAGCAGCCGGACAGGAAAAAAGTCCCAGCGACACAGTGACGAACAGGAAAAGCTAAGGATAAATGTTCAGAAAAGATTCCATGAGCACGAAGACTTCCTTCGAACAAAGTTACTTAGGTTACTGTGATAGAAGACCATGCTAAATCTTATCTGATGTAAAGCTTTAATTGTATTACAAGCCATGTTGAAAATACAAGGCGAGGTTGTTCTTATCTTCTTAGAGTCACCGTTTTGTTCCCTCTTGTAGAACTCAATTCAACATGTTACAACTTTTTAATAAGTGAGGAGGATATTTCGATGTATTCAGATGATAATCAAATCTTTTCCTCGGGCATGTGTACTGGTGTTGTTGAGGAGAAGCTGCTACGTGAAGGAAATAAGGCGACTAAATGATATTAGTAAAACCTTTTTCAAGATTTTCGAGTGTTCTCCCAACATTCCGCGTGGGTTATCACGCTGGTAAACCCATAGAAAGTGAAAATTAACGTTTTAATAATAATAAGCCCTTAGGTAGCATTGAATAATTATGTGTAATTATATATAAACAGTAGCAGCACGGAATTACTCCGTTCAACACAGAAGACCGCCCTGGGTAAGATTTATGTTTTAGAATAACCAAGAAGCTTCTAACTTTCCTTCGGCAAGCTGGAAAAATTATCTGTAATTGCTTACCGTATCGTAACGTACCGATCCTGCAGATCTCGGTCTTATGAAGCGTAATAAAAGGTGGAGCATGTTAAATCTAATTAATTTCATTCTTGTCATCGTTTCCAATGTGATACGTATTGATTTTACACTTAAATGTGTTTGCTTGCAAAGACAATTCTTTCCCTGACCAAGGTCTTTAAAAGCCAAGGTTAGAATATAGACTGCGCGACTTGATATATTTATGAACTGGTGTTGTTTATATCGTGGACAAATAAGCCATGACTGAGGAAGAGGAAGAAATGGCATACTGAGGCGTAAGAAATAAAGAAGATGATCACTCGGAAAGGAAAGGTAGACATTGCTTTATTGTTGTTGCAGATTGATAAATATCCATCCCCGCAGAAGATAAAAACAAAAGTTTTCAAGCACATGCTTGAAAACTGCCGTCCCTCGCGGTGTGCGACAAACCCAGACTGGAGACTTTCAGGTAAACCTTGTTGTGAAATGCTCTGACAGATTCCCTGTCCCTAAACGTTCAGTCTTCTAAAAGTCTAGTTTAAGGAAAGGGAATCTGTTAGAGCATTTCACAACAATGTTTATCTTGTTTACCTGCTAGGCTGCAGTCTGCGTTTGTCGCACAACGCGTCCGTGAAGGGTTTGCTGGAAAATTAGGATCGGGAATCAAAGATCGAGGATTGGGGATCGGTTAAAAAAGATTACTCGAAAACAAAATATTTTATAAATTAATCGTGGATAGTAGTGATGTGGGCCCCACAGACTGAGAATAAATTTCACAGAACATAATCCCCGTTCGCTGTACTGAGCACTAAATTTAAGTAAATTACTCCGCGCCTGACTGATTCAGTGATTGTTTTGACGAGAAAAAGAATTTTTCCTGGAAAATGAAGCACTATGTTCCAGTGATACTGCGATAAGTTATGCAATGTGTCATGTACACCTAGAGATGTGGAAAATCATTTGAAAAACCTAAACATCCACAAGTCTCCTGGTCCTGATTAATTATCGCCTCATATCTTAGAGGAATGCGCACTGGAACTATGTACATCGCTTTGTAATCTATTCAACAAGTCGATCCACTCCGGTTCGCTACCCAGCGACTGGAAAATTGCACATATTATTGCAGTACATAAAAAGGGTCCAAAACATAAGAAGGAAACCTATCGTCAAATCTCGCTGACATCCATCATCAGCAAAACAGCTGACAAAATTGTAAAATCAAGAGTCATCTCATTTTGGACTGAACATCAATTACTAAACCCGAGTCAATTCGGATATTTGAAAGGCATATCGACAGTGTCGCAACTTTTAAGCTGTTATAACGACTGGTGCTTATCAAGAAATTCGTCAAAAGTGTCTGATGTAATATTTCTGGACCTTTCAAAAGCGTTTGACAGTGTCCCCTTTGAGCGCCTGCTTTTAAAGTTCAATAGGTACGGCATAGACGGGCAACGGCACCTGTAGTTTAGGAACTTTTTAACCAAGCGAAAACAAAGAATACAGATACGTGGATCGTATTTCAAATGGTCGCCTGATATATTTGGCGTCCCTCAAGGTTCAATACTTGGGCTGATTATGTTCCTTATTTACGTGAACGACATACCTAACATCATCACATCTACCGCCAAGTAATTCGCTCACGATACCAAAATCTATCGACAGATGAATAAAGTGGAAGATTCTATCGCTTAACAATCAGATCTAACCACTCTCGATCTATGGGCGGATCGCTGGCAGGTAAAATTTAATCCTAGCAAATGTGAGGTCATGAGAATCACTCATAATAAGAACAAAAGTACCACAAGGTACCAAGTCTCGGGTACTGAGTTAAGAAATGTATCCAGTTCTAAAGATCTTGGAGTTATCATGGCGAGTGACCTGACCTGGACAAAACAAGTTGAAGAATTAGTTCACAGGCAAACAAGGTACTTGGCTTACTTAAACGCACAGTGCGTAATAAAAATATGAAAAATTTTACAATTTTGTGCAAGACCCTCGTTCGCCGATCTTGGAATACGCTAGCCCGGTGTGGTCACCAAATCTAGCCAAAGACATCCATGAAATTGAGAAGCTACAAAGGAAAGCTTCGCGAATCGCCCTAGAGCAAAGACGAGAGGAAATGGCGTATGAGGAACTCTTTAGAACGAAGGAGGGAATTTCTATCCCTGGTAGAGTGCTGTAAGGTCGTATTAAATCTAAATGGTCTAAACTTCAGAGATTATTTTGAACTGTGCCGGAGCACTAAGACGAGATCCAACTATCAATATAAGATACAAACCAAACTCGCAAAATTAAACTGTTATAAATATTCCTTCTTTGTTAAGGTAATCAAGTTTTGGAACGATCTTCCAAGTAACGTAGTCAATTGTCAGGATAGTCCAAATATCAGCAAGTGTAAACTAAGATTAAAGAATCACATGAATATTTATTTAATGGACATTCTGTACTTTTTTAATGGTATTTCTGTGATTTATATATATATATATATATATATATATATATATATATATATATATATATATATATATATATATATATATATATATATATATATATATATATATATATATATATATAAATGTATATTCTTTATTATTTTTATTGCTATATTTTTATAGTTTCTTTTCTTTTTAGGAGATCCTTAATATAGGGTTTAACCTATGGGGTTCCTTTTTCTTAATAACAGTGCTTATTGTAACAGTGCTTGTTATTTTCAAATCAAGTATTGTGAAATTAACAGTCAACGACAAGTACAGGGGAAACTTGGTCACGTGATGCCCAGATCCCAGCGGCTGTAAAATCGGGAAAATGGACAGATAGTAAAAAAGAAAACGGTCAAAGGACAGGCGCCTGAATACGCCTGCATCCAACTTTATTTTTTCACGGTGACATACGAGACTTGCGGAAATGTGACACTTTTCGCGGGAAACAAGCCGTTCTATCTATAAATCTACTCGGGAAAGGGTTGACTCAAGAAATCAGTGAAGATAGGGGTTCCCAGTGAATAAAACCTCCAATCCCAGCCATTATCCATTCTTTGTTTGATTGCTTGTTTGTTCTTATTTCCCGGTTTCCCTTCCCTGGCTAGCTCCATCCTCATTCTCAGGTCCCATTTTAACAACAACCAAAGGGCATTCTGTCCTCGTTTTGAACCTTTAGGACTTTAATGTTACCTTACTTATAATCAAATTACTGCAATGTACCTATTTCATAATGCAGCCCTTCAACAGGGCCATTTATCAAGATAGTAACCTATTTAAAGGGCCTTAGGTTAAAAAACAAACAAACAAACAAACAAACAAAAAAACACAAAAAAAACAAGAATTTCTTAAGAAAATTACTCTTTACATGTTATTCGATCTGTCAGAAAGCTGGTTTACTAACTTAGAAAAAACGCTATTGAATCGTAGTCAACAGTTACCGGCACCGTACAAACCACTTATTGACGGAATCAAGCAAAACTAACTCCGAGAGAACGACTGGACAACTTACAATATTGTTTTTTCATTTTTTATCTTTCCCCCTAAAAGAGTGAAGATTGGACTAATTTCGACAGCAATTCAGTGGTTTCTGCATAAATGCGTTAAATCGGATCCTGTTTTTTAAATTTACATTGTTTTTGAAAGTCTGAGCGTTTCTTAGCAAAGTCATCTGATTTTGTAGTAAAATCACCGTAGTAAAATCACCAGAACAGAATTAAACTTCACCTGTTAAGTAAAAGAGGGTTGTTAGGTTAGTTTTTCAGTGACAATATATAAACTGTATGAAATACGTTATATTGGATTCCCCTTGTTTATTTGCATTTTTTCGAAGTTAGAGCGTTTCTTGGCAAAATGTTTTATGGATGTCATTCGATTACCTTTTCAGCAGAACCCTTTCCTTCTCAAGACAAAAGGAGACTATGCTCTGCTCGCTCTGCTTGATTTGTTAGTAATTAAAAAATAATGATATCAAACATATAAGTCAGGATATAGGTGAGGAAATAGGAAATTTAAGAAGCCATAGGCGCTGGTAGCACCTCCTTCAAACTCATCGGGTAAGTGAAACGGTATACTAGATTTCAAGTATTATATTTCTTCAGGTAAAAAAATTCCCCACCCTTGGGACTAGAGAATTATTCAAATTTGATAAATATCCCTCTCTATGTTTAACTAAACCGAAGTCTGGGGCAGATTTTGAGGTCAAAATCCCCAGAAAGGGGACAGAAGAAGTGTCCAAATCAGTATATTGGTCTTTTCCCCTGTTATATATAACACACGTGAGGCAGTACGAGATGTTCTNAAGAGGGTTGTTAGGTTAGTTTTTCAGTGACAATATATAAACTGTATGAAATACGTTATATTGGATTCCCCTTGTTTATTTGCATTTTTTCGAAGTTAGAGCGTTTCTTGGCAAAATGTTTTATGGATGTCATTCGATTACCTTTTCAGCAGAACCCTTTCCTTCTCAAGACAAAAGGAGACTATGCTCTGCTCGCTCTGCTTGATTTGTTAGTAATTAAAAAATAATGATATCAAACATATAAGTCAGGATATAGGTGAGGAAATAGGAAATTTAAGAAGCCATAGGCGCTGGTAGCACCTCCTTCAAACTCATCGGGTAAGTGAAACGGTATACTAGATTTCAAGTATTATATTTCTTCAGGTAAAAAAATTCCCCACCCTTGGGACTAGAGAATTATTCAAATTTGATAAATATCCCTCTCTATGTTTAACTAAACCGAAGTCTGGGGCAGATTTTGAGGTCAAAATCCCCAGAAAGGGGACAGAAGAAGTGTCCAAATCAGTATATTGGTCTTTTCCCCTGTTATATATAACACACGTGAGGCAGTACGAGATGTTCTGTCAGACTATTCAACTATATTATTACATGGCTGATAAGGCAAAAGGAAAATAACAAACTACTCTTAATATGCAGATCTCTGAAAACGGCCATTCACTCAGAAACTGCTTTTGTGGGGTAGTACAGCTGAGTAATGTACATGAAGAATACACTTCCTCCAAAAGAAACTACATGTTAACTCAAGTCAAATGAAAATCACAAAAAACACAACAGTCACGAAAGTCTAACCAAGAGGTCGGAGATTCAAGAGTACTAAGAAACCTTTTAACAAATTCATCGCCATTTCCTTTTAAAGTGTGTTCAGAAAGAATAATAGATTTTCACTTTCTTAGCGCTTACAAAATTCTCAGAGAAACAATTTTGGCGGCCATTTTACTTTGCTGGATTGGTTGCTACGCGGTGGGGACTGAGAACTGGTAAAATAGCGAAACAAACTTCCAAACTTCTAAACAAACTTACCGACAAATCGAGTTCTTAGTCGGTTTCAAGACAGAGATAGGAAGCTACCCTGTGGGGGCCGCAGTTAATACAAGTGATACCAGTAAAAGGGAATTACAATTATTTTACACTATCTTTTAAAATAAAGCTTCACGTTTCACGCTCAAAATACTTTGCTTTTTCGTCCTTCTTCTGTGCGGCAGAGAAACGTGGCAACAAAATTATGGCTCGAGGTCGTCCACTAAAGTAAAAAGTGTTTCAACAACCATAAATAAAATAAATAAATAAATTGAGGCAAAATCTCAGTCCACTCAAACATCTCTTTCAACCAGGCGCATATGAGGACTGAGTCCCGTTTAAGAGTAACGAGCATCACAGCGTGTTACTAAGCGCACGATTCAATGATTCCTTGCATTAAAGTGTTGCATCGCATACGTGTCGCTTGTCACGCATATCCAACAAAGAACATTCGTGCTTTGTTTTTCTCCTCTCCGGTTGCTCATCATTACCCTACCTGTAGCTAACTTGCGGAATTACTTCTTTACCTCGCGCAACTCGCAAAGTAAGCATGTCGCTTAGAGCACGCGTTAAACTACAAGTAGACCCTTAAGTCCGTCAGGGATAGTAGAGCAAGAAAATAGAAGAGAGCGCGCGTGAAAATCGCCAACCGTGAGCAAAGGCTACAGCGGACGAAAGGGAGAAAATTGGGGAAATATTCTTGTGGGTTACTTGATGCCCATAGCAGACAAGAAACACAAGTAACATTGTAGCAGTGGGCATTAATAGTGTTACGCGTAGGACGTATAACGTGGAAGACGTGGAAGGGTCATGTTATACCGGGTTTCAATGAGAGATTTGCCGGTTTTCCTTTCCCACTTGCAGCCAAGAGCAAAATATAAACCACTACACGTCTTTGCCTCCGGGCTTGTTATAGCCCTTATATTCCCACCGCTTTCGGTACGAAACCTAAGGCCTGATGTCTCACATCTAAATCATCTTGACAGTAAGTATTACATCATTGTAGGATTCTACAAAGTTTATGAATAAAGTTTCATCCGTATTGCATGATTCAATGGTGTAGTCTACAACACAGAAAAAAACATAGGCACACGTGAGCAGGAAAAGAGTGTTTAATGAACGATTTTTTTTCCACTTTTGTTTCTTCTATTTGGTAAAAAACGATTTTATTGTTCATCCTTCTAGTCAAGCAAAACATAGTAACCAGGACGACGCAAAGAATCTCATCTATATTCAGACGTAGCCTTCTGAACACACATAGTTAGTGCAGGACAACAAAGGTGAACAAATAGAAGCCGAAAGGCCTAAAATGCACTGTGAACTATGCTGTTAAATTGGATACAACAATTAAGGTAGGTGTCATTCATTGTGTGGCAAGATTCTCTCATTTTTTGCAAGCTTTTAAGTGTAGTCAAGACTCGCTAAAGAATACATTTTTTAGTGTTGTTGGCCCGTCACTCTGATTTCGTTTAAATACAGGACATACATGTAATTTGTAATCCTTGATTATAATTATCAAAATAATATCCATCAATGAAAATATGCCTATGGACGTATGTTATAAGATTTGAAAACGAGCTTTCTAGAGGCAGGTTTCCTTAAAAACAAACAAAATGACAAGTTACATGCACGGTGACTAAGCGATTAGGAGCATTGAATGCGGTTGGTTTCTTAAGGTGCTTAGTTCAAAGTTCCGCATTGGAATCTAAACAAAGCGATTATCGTTAATTCTATGTTAGCTTAGAATAATGTAATATTTCAAAAGTTTTATTCCCGAAATATGTTGTTATAAAATTCGGAATTGGTGGACATTTTAACGCTCGGGCTGGAACGTACACCTAGAGGTCAGTGCCTGAATCGATCCCTGTCCACCCTTTACATATA